TAACCGCCCCTGACGCAGGAAGGGTTAATAATCACTGGAAAAGGCTTGCCAACAAACTGTGACCTGGAGGTGAGAAGGCCGGTTAGCCAAAGACAGGTAAGATCTCCAGAGGGAGGCAACCTAAGCCAGGCACGGCCACCCAGGGGCACAGATGGAGACACGATATCGACAGCAGGAGGGGCCATTGCCTAGGAGGCCTTGCATGCTCTGAGATAAAAGTGTATGAGCACAGCCATAACATGATAATATCAAAACAGAGACCAAGGGAGGGCTCCTTGAGAAATAACTAAGAATTCTTGGCATCTGCTAATTACATTGTCCAGAATACCTGTGTATGTTTAACAGATGTAAGCTATGTATATATTGAAACGCTGGCTATAATAAACTCAGAGTGGCCATTAGCCCTCTCCAGATCTATCCTGGTGTGTACATTGGATCGAGACACCGACAGGATGGATGGTAATTAGTCTTTGGGTGGTGAACATGATGTAATCTACACAGAATTCAAAATATATTATGATGCACACCTGAGAGTTATGCCAAAAAACTTGGCATGGATTCAAAGGGACTAGATAGTAAATAAAATCTTTGTTTGAGGGCCAGCCTGGTGGTGTAGTGCTTAAGTTTGCACACTCTGCTTTGGCGGCCTGGCCTGGGCTTTACACAGGTTCAGATCCCAGGCATGGACCTGTAGGAGCTGCCCAACAAGCCATGCTGTGGCATCATCCCACATGCAGAATAGAAGAAGACTGGCATAGATGTTAGCTCAGATTGGCAACAGATGCTAGCTAAGGGCCGATCTTCCTCACCAAAACAAACAAACAAACAAAAAAACCCACTTCTGTTTGAAGGAAATTATTTAAGTATTTTAGAAAAATAATAGGGGTTCTTCACGGGAACTTTTACTTTCTTAGTCTTCCATCCATAACTCCACTTTTGTTTCCATAGCTACATCTTGACCTTAACATCTCTGGTATGTTAGTCATTTAAGTGTATTCTTCTCTACCTCTCACATAACTTGCATTGACCTTGTCCTACAAAATAAACTAGGTTATGAGTAAAGATTTGTCAGTGGTATGAAAACTAGCTATGTTCCAAGGAATCTACAGTTTTCTTTGCAGTCTAATTTATACTACCTTTAAAGAATTCTCTTAAAATATTTGTTCTTTAGCTCTAATTAAACTTACTTTTCTCATCCAAGATGTGCAGATCAGGCTCTGGAGTTCCTTCCTGTTATAAATGCTATAAAGAATCCTCAAAATGTAAAATAACTACATTTGCTTAAAATATTGAAATAGTTTTCCCCAGCCCTTCAGTGAATGGTTCCTGCATGTATGTTTGACTAAAACTTTGATGGAACCTAACTTTGGTATAAAACTGGGTCCTAGCATCTCTTCAAAGTCACCTCATTAAGGCATAGAGAATAAAGGTCATCAAGAGGCAGGGGTCAAGAGTGGAAGATTTCAGAGGTGGACTTTTCCATCAACTTTTTAAGTATTTGCAATAATCTATCTTCATTTGGAAGTTTAAAAGACAATCGTTCTCGTTTAAATTAATACAGATATTGCATCAGCAGTTGGGCCATTCCCATTTCCCACTTACTTCCTCTCTGGCCCCTGAGAACTCTCAGCTTTCCTAACAGTGCTGTCAAATCCTCAGCGAGGCATCCAAAAGTGTGTTTCCAGACTCCCACAGTCTTCTCTACCAGCACTCATTCTTTTTATTGTCAAATATGTGTATTTCTTTTTCAAATGTTTGTTTTCAACATGGAAATTGGGAAATTTTTCTCTGTGGATATTAAAGGCCCTTTGTGGGATTTTAGTGTTCCTGTGGGAACCTTCGTGTATCTTGAACTCCTGGGCCTATCATGCTAGAAGCTTGGTTCTCAGTTGTGGGGCTTTGGGAAAGTATTTGATATCAGAACTTGGAGTGGGCTCAGAAATTGTTTCGTTAGCCACTGGCTACCTGCCTGTACCTCCCTCTGTCATCCCCAGTTAAGGAAATTACTTTCTTAATGCGTAAGCCCAGTTTATATGAAAACTTGTCAGTTTTCGTATTGGTTGTTCTTTGGGGAGCTATGAAATCTGGTGAATAAGACTAACTCAACTTTTGTGCCTTTGTCCTTACCCATTCCCACCAGGCCGTACCACAAGAAGATGGCGACCAAACCCAACTTAGCAGGAACTCCTCCAGCTGCGTGTAGTACTAGTTTAGGATAGCTGCTCTAACAACAGCAGCAGCAGCAAAGCAATGGCTTCACACAACAATAGCTTATGTTCCTTTCACTTAAGGAGCCATGCCAACTTCTTGGTTAGCAGAGACCTTTCCTAAAGGTCAACGTTTCTTCCATCTGATAACTTCACCATCCCCCTCGGACTGGAGAGACCTCTGTTTTCAGTGAGAAAGGAAGAAGGGAGGGTAGAAAAGGCACAAAGGCATTTTAATCATCTTGGGCCAAAAGTAACATGTCATTTTTACGTGCCACATAGCCCCACCAAGATGCAAGAGGACATTAGGCAGAGAGGCCAGGAAAATGAGCCAGCAAAAACTCTATAATAAGAGGAGGCAGATCATGTTTTAGATAATGAGACTTTCCCAAATAATGAAGAGTAATAATTTTTGTAAATTGATGAATAAATAGCTAACTACAAATCGCAAAGACACTTTACCTGCCCTGATTCCTAGCCTTATTTTCTTCCACATGCACCATCCTGTGAGCTACACACCTGTTAATATTTAGTTTCAAGGTCATCACCACATCATCTGGCATCAACTCCGCTTTCTTCCCTGGAGCATTTCGTACTGAGGCCCTCTGTGCTTCTGCTCCAATCTGGACTGCTCTGCAGCCTGACAGCAGTGTGTCACCCTTGGATTCCCCTTTACTGCTTTCTTTACTGGAATTTCTGTCTCCTAGTTCCATTTTAGTCTCTTCCCTGGTTTACCCCCTCGTGTTGCTGAAGCACATCCTCCAAATCTTTCTAAAAAGGATGAAAAAGAAAAACTTTGAATCTTTCATACTTAAAATTTTTATTCTACCTTCATATTCGATTAATAATTTTGTCAGTGATTAAATTCTAAACTAAAATGGTTTTCACTGAGAAAGTTAAAGGAATTGCTTCCTTTCCTTCTCGTATCCATTATCATTTTTGAAGTCAAATGTTATCTGATTCCTAGTCTTTTATATGTGACCCATGGAAGCTTTTAAGGTCTCTACACTCAGGCAGGGCAGGCTACATGGGCAGGTAACCAGCACGGTCACACAGGGCTCCACGCTTAGATGGTTTCATGCTCTGCCTGAGTTTAATGTCTTGCAATGTTTGATAACTGTTTTTGAGTTGTGTTTTATCACTGAAGTCTGATGGGACAATGGGAGATGCATCGTGTGTTCGCACATGGTTGCATCTCCTGCCATCTCCCTGCTCTCCTGGGATGGATGCTCAGCTGCCTGCTCCCCAGGCCCCTGGCACACCAGGCCTTACAGCTTCTGCCTCCCCACGTTTACCCAGGGGTAGTTGCTGCCCTCACCCCCAAAGGACCTGGGTGTAGGTGCAGGCACATAAATGTTAGGTATCCAGCTACCAAGCACATCCCAGCCCAGAGTTGTAATAGTTGGGCTTGTTGTAATACTGGGTTGTGATGGCATTTCCATGGACAGGGAGTTGCCTGGCTTGACTTGCCCGTCCTTGCCTGAAGCACAGTGCATCCTTGGTAGCTGGCAGCAGAGGGAACTGACTCAGTCACACAGCGGGAGGCCCCAGGCATATGTGAGGGTCATGCAGCCCTTGTTCCCCTGCCTACTTAAGCAATCTTCTCTTAGGGGGTGGTTGCGGGTGCACACTTCTGTCCAGGATCACCACCATGCTCAAGGAAATGCACCATTAAATAGAAGATAAAAAAACATCATGACAGGTTGAGAAAGAGATACGCAGAATGAAGGAAAATGTTTGATATTTTTAGCACCGTTAATGATTCTATTTCCTGCTTTTTGAACAGGGGACCCTCATTTTCATTTTGTGCTAGTTCCCACAAATTATGTCGCCAGTCTTGCAGTCAGAATTCTGAAATTTCCTCTGATATGTCTTAGGATGTATCTTTACTCATTTATCTGGATGGACATTCATTGAGTCCTTTAAATTCAGAGATATATATGTACCTTAGCTCTGGATGTTTTTATTATATTATGTCGGTGAAAATTTCTTACGCTCCACTTTCTTTTAATTTCTTTCTTTGTAACTTCTATCAATCAATTGTTACACATCCAATCTTATCCTTTAAATTAACATTTTCTTTCCTATTTCGCATCATTTGTTCTTTTCTCCCTGGGAGATTTCCCTGGTCTTATATTTCAACTCTTCTTTTGACTGTTTCATTTTGGCTGTTATATTTTCAATGTCCAAATCCTGCTATTTTGTTGTTAGTAAGTATCCGTTCCGTAGAATCCCATTCTGTTTTTATGTCTAATATTGTCTCATCTCCCTAAGTATAACAATAATCGTTTTCTTGGTTTGTTTTTTATTTTTATTTTTTGGTGTTTCTTCTATGTCCTTCATTTGTTTCCTCTGGGTTTCTTTCAAGATAGTTTCTTTTGGTCTTTCTTTTTCAGGTTGGAGACTTCCTCAAATGTTTCTTAATCCTTACACATCTGTTTACCTTTAAAGGTGAAACACAAAAATGGACAATCTGTGTGCTTCTGGAGGACCTCTTAACTTGAATGGATCCAAGGGTAGTACCAAGATTGTGGCCGCTTTTTCATTGGTGATAAACATAAGCATCTAGAAGTTTATCCTCTAGAATAGATCAGAGAGTGTAGGGACTGGGCCTTGCTTGCTCAGTGGAAACCCCCAGGTCCATTGCAACCATGTGTCCTTCTGGCTCCCTTCTGGGCAGGCAGCCCAGCTACCAGGATTTGTAACCATCTGGGCCTGGCCAGCCTGGATCCTCCCTTATCCCACGTGAAGAACATTGTGTCTCACAGGGACACAGAGCCCCTCCATGTGAGCCACTGCTTCTGGGAACACTGGTCGTACCAAGGACAGCCCTTCGACAATCATGCAGCCTTTGTTCCTCTGTCTACTTAAGCAAGCTTCTCTTAAGGGGCAGTTGCAGGTGCACACTTCCGTCCAGCTGGCCGCCACTGGACACTCTCCCTGTAAGTAAGGCCCAGTAAACCTGTATGTCTTGTTTGCACTCTCCGAGTTGTTTCTTCGGTCTCTCAGCATGATACCCCACCGTTCTAGCCCAGCTGGGCTTGTGGTGGAACAGAGAGAAATTGTCCAGTCTTCAACCTGATGGACATGTGCCTGCACACTGGCATGTGGGGAGTGAGTTGCACAAACTTTCACTATGCAAATTTTCACTTACTCTCCTTGTGTTTAGCCCTGTGCTTCACTCCAACCTGTTTATCTGAATCATTGAGTCAAGAGCTCTGGTAACATTTCTCCAGAAACATGTTTTCCTAAATCTAGTACCTGACAGTAGGCCAGGAAGGTAGAGGGAGGCAGGTTATAACAGAGAGGGAGCGTGGGGGTCCAATCAGTCTGCATACAGACTTTCAAATTAGCCTGCAGTTTCAACTACACCCTGGAGTTCTGTGGTGCCCCGTGTGTCTCAGGGTTCTGCAGGGGAAGCACACTCACTACTCAACCAAAGCCCGTCTGCAGGGGCAGCGGAGGGCAGCTCATCCACGGTACGAGGTCAATTATCACTCTTCCCTCTGCTCGCTCTCTTTCAAAAACTCCTTGAAATCTCTTTTTCATAAATATTTTATCTCCCACTCTTTGTACTTGTGTTTATAAACTTTGTTTTATTTCCGTACTGTTATTTCAGTAGCATTTCATAAAGTGGAGAAGACAAGTGTGTTAAATTTAGCACCTTAACTGGAGCCCTCAATTGTCATTTCTAATGGCTCTGGAGTACCTGCCTGTTAGAACGAATCACGACTGCTCACACCAATTCCAACTTTAGAAACTTTAGTTTATTACCTTATGTTCACCAGTACGAATAATATCTCACACATACATCCTTATATAACGATTCCCTGAGAAAAACTGCTATAGTGGAATTGTAGAATCAGGCTGCACATATTGTTAAACTGTTGATGCATATACATATATCTTATTTGTGAGAAATTTTCTATTGGTTACCATTAAATATGGAATTGGTTATTGATTGGACAGGAGAAGTATTTTCTTTACAATTACTCTTTTACAAATTTCTTTAAACCAGGAATAGATGTTGAATTTTATTAAAATCTGTCCATTTTATGTTGAGAGCTGCATGTTTTATTTTCTGTGTACTATTAATATGAATAATTATTAAAAAGATTTACTGATGTACTATCTCTGAATTTTTGGAGAAAATCCCACTTGATTATGATTATTAACTTAAAATAGTTTGATTCTTATTTGCTATCTTTAAATTTGCACTTTTGCATACTTATTTATAAATATTTTTAGTCAAAAACTATCTTTTTTGCTCTCTTTTAAAGATTTAGTATGAGCATTACATTCACCTAGTAAAAAGAAGTGGGAAGTTTTCTTTCTTAGGCAAAGCTCTAGCTTTATTATCATAAGGAGTATCTATTCTTAATCCACTCATAAAATCTTTGATCAAAACAATTGTCTTGAACTTTTATTTAAAAAATAAAATCTTTAAACTTTGGCTTCAGAACATAAGATAAAAATTTAAGCTCTATTTAAGCTCTATTTGGGACACTGGGAAAAGCTCCACCAGTGCTTTCGGTTGGAAGGCGGCATGACATAATGATAACACCTCTTATCTTGGAATTAAACAGTTCCATCTTTGAATTCTACCTAAACTACTTACTGGCTAGATAATTTCTTTGAGCCACATGTAAAGCGGAATAATAATAATGATTAAATAGGATACTGTATGTAAATAGTGGCAGAATAGTACAATAAATAGCATCGTTAATTATATATGCAGTACAATCCATAAAAATACTCTCCTTTAAACTAATACTATATTTTAGCAAAAGAATGGAACATAAAAATGTACCAAAAGGGGCTGGCCCAGTGGTGCAGTGGTTAAGTTTGAACCTTCTGCTTCAGCGGCCCGGGGTTCGTCGGTTCAGATTCCGGGTGCGGACATGGCACCCCTTGTCAAGCCATGCTTTGGTAGGCGTCCCACATATAAAGTAGAGGAAGAAGGGCCCGATGTTAGCTCAGGGCCAGTCTTCCTCAGCAAAAAGAGGAGGATTGGCAGCAGTTAGCTCAGGGCTAATCTTCCTCAAAAAAAAGTAGCAAAAATGTTATTACACCACAGACTCTACTAAGAGTTAAATATGGATTTTTTCTCATTCTAAATGCTAAAAACATCTGGTAACTATGTTGAGTGTCAGAAATGAAAATATAGACTTCTTGGCAGGTGAAAATGTCTCAATAAATAAGTTTGAAGACTGAAACCCTTGATGGATATTTATGGGTTGAGAATTGTTAACAGAGCCTTCTTTGAGGCCAGAGCAGAACCAGGTGCATTTAACAATCTATCAGAACAGTATCATAATTTATCTGGCATGAGAACCACCTGGAGGGCTCCCTAAAGCACAGAAATTCTGATTCAGCCTGACTTGGGTGGGGACAGATAATTTGCATATGTAACAAGTTGCCAGGTAATGTGGATGCTGCTGGTCCAACAACCACATTTGGAGAATTACTGCTTTAGTGAAATTAGTCCTTCTGTCAGTGAAGCCATTCCCCAAGATGAACTATACACAATAGTCAGGCTTACCATAAATTGCATCTCTTTTGTTAATCACTATTTCATAGGATGGTCAGACAGATACTAGGGTCTCTATTTTTCACATGAGGAAACAACTATATGATTTTCCCCCAAATGCATAGCTAATATCACTAAAGAAAGCATTAGAATCTCAGCCTCTGTCAAGAGAATCCCTCAGGCACCCGGAGCCCTTCAAGACTAAAAACTCCATAGTGAACTTTAGTCAACATTTTTAATGGTGAAATTGCTTACAGTCAGAGAATTCATCTTTTGAGTTAACACAAGTCTTAAAATTTATTTTTTTAAATAAATAGGATAAGTATATATTTGCTTGGGATTATTTATGTTCCCTTTATTTTTGTGATGTCTCCAGTTCTATAATGAGATACTCCAAAGTAAGACCTATTTGGAATGCCAAAGAAACAAATTTAAGTCTGGCATGTCAGCTGAGGGAAACCTACAACAAACTAGGAAAAATGTATTTTAATAACTTAAGAAAGGTCATTTTTCTAAACAAAACAAAAACAAAACTATAAATCTAGCCAGAAATTTATTCCAGGAAGAAATGTTTTAAAAAGCCCCCTGACCTTTACATTGGTTTCCTCTCCAATTAACATCTGCCAAACCAATGAAAAAAATGGTAAAATTCATTTAGACTACATTGGTAATACTCTAAAAGGATGTTAAGGAAACTCTCAAAATCTCTAATAATTAATTTATCATAACATGTTTCTTCCTAAAATATAAATTAGAAAGTTTATTATAATATATTTCTCAGAGCATAATTCATAATACAGGATTAAAAAAATACATTTCTATTTCAAACTCCTGCTGTCAAAAAATGAAAAACAGGCTTAAGTTTATTAGCAAAAAAATTCATCTATAAAGCATCAGCCATCCAAAATGAATAACAATACAAGCAGTAATACCATTACTTAAGGGGCTACCATTTTATATGAGCAGAAAACACGGAGAAGATACAATGGCTAAAAGCATCAAATGAGTGGGAGGGTCACGTTATAAGTCTATTTCCTGCCAGTACATTGCTCAAAGCGCTGCTCACAGCTCAAACCCTTCTGGTAGAACTAGTCAACAATACCTTGGATTTATTGAGTGTGGAGCAGCTTACCAACAAAAAAGTTTGTTCATTCAACAAAGCCTCTGTTCATGAAGGGTTACTTTTCCAAGGGAAAATTATGGCAATTCTACGACATGTTTTAGTATTTCTTGTCGATATTTTGCATTAATACACATTGTGAATTTCCTAAAAGAGAATAAACCATACAAAATTTCCCAAACTTATTTGGCGATTGCATTAGTTTCCTATAGCTGCTATACGAATTACCCCAAACTTAGTGGCTTAGCACAGCACAAATGTATCCTCTTACAGCTCTGGAGTCCACATGTGTCAGAAGGGCCGTATTCCTTCTGGAGGCTCTAGGGGAAAATCCATATTGTTGTCTTTCCTAGCTTCTAGAGGCCACCTGCATTCCTTGGCTTATGACCCTATTCTTCATCTTCAAAGCCAGTAAAGTAGCATCTTCTAATCTTTCTCTCCGTTCCTCTGCTTCCATTGTTACATCTCCGACTCTGATCCTTCTGTCTCTCTCTTACAAGAACACTTGTGATTACATTGGGCCCTCTCAAATAGTCCAGAATGATCTCTCTTTCTCTTAATAACATGTGCAAAATCCCTTTAGCCGTGTAAGGTAACTTATTCATAGATTCCAGGGATTAGGATGTGGTCATCTTTGCAAGGTCATTATTCACCCAACCACAGCCACAGAATCCTTTATTTCATGGAATACTCATTACAATCTTGCTGCAATAGTGCTCTGTAGAACAAAGTTTGGAAAACTTTGTTTTTATAGGAGTATGGAGAAGATCCTAGACTCTGGAAGCAGAGATGAGATAATGAAGGATAAGCTGCAGAGCAAAGACCAATTGACTGTGGAGAAACCATAATTAGTGGAGCCCTGTGGCTTGTGACTTGAAACAGTTGTGTCAACATGAATGGTCCAGTGAGATAAGTAAAAGCAGTAGGACTCTATCCTGACATGCTTCCAGATTCCTTAAATGCTGTGTTGAATGCTCTTAAGATGATTAGGGAATTTATGCAAAACTGTAATAACGGAACAAAAGATGAATGTGAGTACTATGACCCGTTGGATTAAGAGAATTTGCATGTTTAATGAGAATGTGCCATGATGCATGGTAATGAGCGGTAATTAGAAGATGGGATTTGGAAAGTTCATAAGGTTACGTGAGCTCGATGTGAGTTGAGTATCTTATATAGTGCTAAAAAGCATGCTCCCTTGGCTAAGCCAAGGTAAAAAAAAAAAAAAAAAAAAACCCATACAATCTAGTTTCAATTAAAAGGCAGCACAGTATAGTGGTTCCCAGTCCGTGATCTAAGTCCTGGCTGCCATATAGAATTGCTGTTCTCCCACCTTCACTGCCCTTTATCTCTTTGTACCAGTTTCCTCATCTGTAAAATGAGGAATATGTCTATGTCATAATATTTTTAAGGATTAATGGTTAATCTAGGTACATTACATAGCATGATCTCAATACATTTTATCTGTTGTTATTACCATTTTTCTGGCTTTCCCAGGAGGAAAGTGAAGGGCAACAATGGCAGGAAAGATGGCTCAGAGCTAAATGTGAGTATGTCTTCTTCTGACGAGAAGTGGATGAACATCTGGCTATAAACCTTCTAGAACAGTGAGATGAAGGAAAGGAAAATTACCCTCTGACAGTCCTAGTTGGTTATGTGAAATCACTGTTCACCCTACATCCATTAATAGAACATAAAGAATGCCTTGAAAAAAGAAATTTCCTTGTCACACGGTTCATAAACAGTGCATTTTGGAATCAGCTTGGGACACTAAAGAATACTGGTGCCCAGCCACCACCCCAGCCATTGTTATTTACTTGCTCTGGGATGCATCCTCGGCATTGGTATTTCATACAAGCTCCCTTGATGATTCTAATGTGCGGCAAAGTTTGGGAACCACTGCCCTTGCTGGGTAAGATACTGTTAACTAATGAGGAAGAAACATCAAGTTTGTCACACAGCAATGTGCTTCAGGTCTGCACTTTTATTACTTTTGAGCTCACATTAGTGTTTAATCCTTTGAGTTGCTGTAAATATAGTATCTTGGATCATCATATTAAATCCCTCTATATCTAACTGTTTTGACCTGTAAAAACGCTAATTTCATATGCTAATTTCATATGCAGTGATTCTGAATAGTATTTATGCAGAATAACTCTTGTCCTAAACAACCTAAATGTTCATCAATGGATGAATGAATAAAGAACACATGGTATATAAAAAGAAAGAAACCCTACCATACGTTACAACCTTGGTAAAACTTGAGGATAATATATAAGTCAAATAAGCCAATCACAGAAGGATAAATACTATATGATTATGCATGTATGAGGTATCTAAAGACGTCAAACTCATAGAAACAGAAAGTAGGACAGTGGTTTCCAGGGGAGGTGGGGAGGGAAAAAATGAAGAGTTGCTATTCAATAACTATAGAGTTTCAGTCACGCAAGATGAAAAAGTTCTAGTGATCTTCTGTACAACATTGTACATACAGTTAACCTTACAGTACTGTACACTTAAAAATTTTTTAAGAAGGTAGATCTCACGTGATATGTTTTAACTACAATAAAAAATGTACTACTTAGTGAAAACTAGATTTGCTAGCAAATACAGTACTCCTGCTACTTCTCGCACCTAGATTGTCTTCACTTTGATTCCATCTCTAGAAATCTTATCAAATCTTGAAGTCTTAATTCCAATGCTACATTCTCCATTAGTGCCTTACATTGCAGAATGTCATGAGCCTTGCCCATGGAGATAAGGTCCCATGGAGATATGTCAATAACAAGAGGGAGAAGAAAAGACATGAGCTTCCTCTAGAGACTCATCAGAGTTTAGTAAAATATCTGTTCGGAAAACTGAGTGAGAAATTGAACAGAAGGCTTGTGAGAATGGGGAGAGGAAGTGGAAATAAAGACATTGAAATTCCACAAATACATAATAATAAAGTGCAAAGACAGGTACAGTGGGATTGAGAGGTGGGAAACACAGCCCCAAGCAACACTGCAAAGCAAGAGCATCTAATTGACCAGCTCTCATAGAGATCAATGGAAAATAGAATAGATTGTGTGCACGTTTGGGTAGTTTGGTAAAATCACAATATTGCTGCAAGCAATTAGATGTTAGAATTAAATTATACTTACTGCTGCTATATTTATATTCAATTCAAATTGTGTTTAATTAAGTAAGCTAGCATAGGAGATTGGCATAAACTGGTTTTTTTTTGGTTTCCTTCTTGGCATACTTTATTGAAGGAAACAAGCAGATGGTGAACTAAGGCAATGGAGTGCCACTCTCTATTTGTGCCTGATCCCTGGAGGTCCCTGTGCAACAAAGAACAGTAAAGGTGTGATGTTCCACAGCACACTCAGAAAGGGGACTATCTCATCTGGGAGCAAAGAGGGGCAGTTCCCATAGACTCCCATCACCACCAGCCTTTGGCCCTCCTCACCATTGCCCAAGGCTTCTCCTTTCCTGAATCTGGGGAGAGTGAACAGGACTCCAGTCCTCATATCCACAGTGTTCTAGGCTCAGGAAGAGAGGAAAATAGGTTTTCATTTCTAACCTCAGTTGTAGGTAGTCACCCCTTCCTCAAACTCCTCTGTACTTTTGTGATACTCATTGCCAAGTTGTCGATGAGCTTTGATTGGGGCATCCTGGGGCCTCAGCACTACCAGCTACAAAGAAAGGAGAACCAAGACCAGGACAGGTAAAGGCAAGCCAATTCAGTAGCCCAGCTGGTCCTGAGGGATAGTAGCTGTGTTGTAACACATGGTGATAAAGTGGGTGAGGGCAACAGAGGTTATACCCACGAGGAGCAGATCACCCAGGAGATTACAGCTGCCATTGGGATAAGACAGGGGTGCAATGGGTGGATATGCTCTATGTTACCGTAGTAGTTTGATGTTTCTAGGTGATTAGCACATGAAGATGCCTCTTCTCTTTAGAGGTGATTTAGAGTGAGTGAAGAACCAAGCTCCCTGGGGAAAATGGTTTGCCAGAGATAGGTGTGGTGTTAAGAAGGTGTTCACCAAGACTCAGGGAGAAAGAGCAGTACTAGGTGGAGAAAGGAAGGCAGAATCTCCATCTGAGGAGGCTGGCACTTGTGTTTGGAGTACATTTACACCCAAGTCATCAAAAGTACACTGGGTTCTGAGTCTGAGCCTGTATCTAGCTACATACTTCCTGCTTTAGCCATGAGAGTATCAACAACTAAAAGGTCTCAGACTTCTGGAAATAGGAAGCAGTAACTAGAGGTAAAAACCTTGAGAGCATAGTCAGCCTTGTATAATAATTACCTCATGTGCGTAACATATTCCTTATACTAGACAGTAAATACCTTGAGGGCTTGGATGATGCCTCATTTATGTTGAATCACAGGAGAAACTTGTGCTTATTATAAATTTGGAAAACACGAGTACAGAGAATTGTGGAAGTTCCTCTAAAATATTGGCCAGGGCTTCTTGATGAACTCATATATAGTTTCATTCTGCAGATACGTTTATTCTTGAATTATAATTGCTACATCACTGCCATCTGGCATTTCATGGCTAAGCAAAGCACCTTCTCCAGACAGTGAAAGGTCAGCAGTAATAAATAGCAGCTTGTGTCCACTGAGATGCAATAACAGTTTCTGGGCTTTAATCCACTGCCCTGGAATGGAAAAGGAATGAAATATGAACATTGAAAAACAATGCCTATCATGATAGATAATGACAAACAGAGGAATGGGTGTGAGGAATGTATAGAGTTTATTCAGGGAATGATGAGAACTCCAATTTGTCTGGTGGTGAAGTGATTTGTCAAATGCATTCAACACTTTCCCACCCATGCAATTTTGCTCCTGCAGTTCCTTGCTGCCTCAAACCCCTCCCACCAGCAGTACTGTGAAAATCCTGCCCCCAGTCAAATGGCATCTCCTACATGAAGCTTTACCTGATCCCCAGATCCATAAATGGCATCTCATTACTTTTTTTGACACTCATCCTTATCCATTTGTCTAAACATCAGTGGCCCTGGTCTCAGTGTTTGAGCCTCTTTTCTTCTCTGTCCATGCCATCATTGGTAAGTGATCTCATCGAGTTGAAAGCATTTCAATGTCATCCATGATTATTGAGTTCCCCTTTTTTCCCAACTGTGACTTCTCCCTTGATGTAGTCAACTGCCAACTTTACATCTATACTCGTATATTGCCAGAAATCTCAGATTTAACATGACCAAAATAGACTTTTCAATATAGTCCCCCAAATTATCCTTTCCCATTCTTCCAAAAAAACAAAAATGAGGAGTTATTTTTGATTCTTCTCTTTCTCTCACACCACACACCCAATATATGTTGAGCAAGTCTCATCAGCTCTGTCTTACAAATGCGCTGTGGATGGAGAACTTATCTTTCCACCACCCCTGAGCTTAAGCCACCATTTTCTTCAGCCTCTACCAGAGCCTCCTCATGGATTATCCAGATTCCACTCTTTCTCCAGCTTCTCTCCAGGGAGCAGCGGGAATATTTCTTTCAAATTTAAATTAGATAATTTGATACCCCTGCTCAGAACCCTCCAATTGAATCTCATCACACTTAGAACAAAAGCCCGAGTCCTTCGGCCGCAGCCTATAATGCCTCACATTCTTTTCTCCCAGGCCTGTCTTCTAAATTTGACTTCCAGCCCCCTGCCCCCAACCCACTTATCTCCTGGTGAACTCTCCTTCTTGCAGTCCATGGGGCAGCCAGGTTCACTGCACCTTTGGGGCCTTTCATGTGTTGTTCCTCTTCCTGGAATGCTCTTCCTCTACATCCTCCTGTGGCTGGCTGCCCCCTCACTTCACCAGGTCTTTGTCACGTGTCCTGTGTTCTGAGAGGCCTTTCCTGACTTTGCTTTCTAAAAGAGAGGCCCTGATGCTATTGTTACCTTTTAATTCCCTTGTCCTATTTTATTTATGTCCATCTAACTTATCTCTAACTGGCAACATATTGTATATTTCTTTCTTTCTAACTCCTCTGAAATGTTTGCTCCATAAGGGCAAGACTCTTGCTTCATTTGCTGTTCTATCCCAGCAGCCAGAATGGTGACAGGCACAGAGTAGGCATTCAGTAAGTATTTGTTAAATAAATAAATGGAGAGTTAGAGCAGTTTCTTTGAAAACTATTTGGAGGGTTTTTATTTTTATGGTTATTTAAGCATTTATTTAATTTTCCTTGGAATACCATAGGTTCTTGAGGACAGAAAAGCTGTCTATCCATATATCCTGTATAGAATCTAGCATATGGTCTGATTTAACAATAGGGAATAAACATATTTTTACTAAATTCATAAATTAAAGAGGAATGGAGGTAGTGCTTGGAAGTGTAGCATTTAAGCTAAGAAGGTCGAAAGTTGAGAGGTTATCTCTGTGGAGCAATTTGTATAGATTCTAGGAGAAAAACATGGCTACCTGATACTACAATTGAGGAATATCATCCTCTTAAAAAATATGAGGAATAACTGCAATATCTGAGCAATTGCTACTATGGTAAGCCCATGATATAGAAAGAATTAGAGAGGAGGGAAA